TTTTGTTTGCTTACTTCCTTGTTTGTTTGTTTGTTGTTATGGCTTGCTTTTGTTTGTTTGTATACTGTAATAGATCGTTTGCTTGCTTTCTTTCTTGTTTCACTCTCTTGATTGCTTATTTAATTGTTTGTTTGTTTGCATATTTGTTTGTTGTCATGGCTTGGTTCGTTTGCTTCTCGACTGAAACACTGTATGATGTATTTTTTACTTCACAAAACAGTAAGGATCAAAGGATAACAGAATGACTTACTCAGGCGTTTCTGTGCAGATTTTCCTATTTTCGTAGTTAGAGTTCATATCAACAAGAGAAATGGACAGTCTGAAACACAAAAGATATAATATAAAAACAGAGTCTCTTCTTCAACGTTATTTTGTGTCTACGAAAAGCAAATGAAGTCCAATTCCTCCAATCTCCATAAGCATTAGACCATCTAGATCATCATTATCATCATCATCCTCATCATCATCCTCATCATCATCCTCATCATCCCCATCATCATCCTCATACTCATCATCATCCTCATTATCCTCCTCATCATCATCGTCGTCGTCGTCGTCGTCGTCATCTTCGTCATCATCGTCATCATCGGGTCATAAGTGGGATCAACAGTGGATTCCACAGAGTGTTTCTTCTTCCAATGGACTCCGATTGGAATTTAGAAGTTGATTTTTACTGAGGGAGTTAAGCCGGAGAGCCCCGAGAAAAACCCTTGAAGCAAGGGAGAGAATCAACAAACAACTCTACTCACATACGACACCGAGCACGGCGGTACTCGAACCCGTGTCGCATTGATGAGAGGCGAGCGTGGTCATCGCTGGACCACCCGTGCTTCCCATTCATGTTCTATTCTAATTGGATGAACGAGACATGGAATTTTCAGGAGAGCCCATTTTGGAGTATTACATGGTGGTCTATAGAGCACTTACGTGTATGTTGGGAAAATCATGAAGACATAATGCATGATCTCAGCTTCTTCTTCCAAATCCACGCCCGGCAAACGGCAAATAAATACTGTCAACAGCATTGCCTGGGAATGATAGGAAAATTGTAACAAATGAATTTACCGGCAAATCCTACGTTTTTTAAAGCACCAATCACAAACACTATCGCCACCCCGTCATTATTATCGCATCACTAAACTAGCATCATCGCCATCTCGTCACCACCTCCATCACCGCCAAAACCATCACCACAATGATCGTTGTCATCATTGCCACCACCCCTATCACCGTCATCTACATATCTTTACCACCCTAATCATTAACAGCAGCATCGTCACCATCATCATCATCAATATCATCAACATCACCATCACCAGCATCATCATCATCATCAATATCACCATCATCATCATCATCATTATCATCATCATCACCATTATTACTATCATCATCAACAGAATCATCCATCACCATAGTTGTTATCACTGCCACCACCACCACCAACATCACCACCATCACCACCACATTAATCGTTGTCATCACTGTCACCACCATTACCATCACCACCAACATCCACCATCATTATGCAAGTAATAAAAGTCATTTACCAGACTAAGGATCGAAAGAATGAATACAGTTAAAGCATAAGCAACCAGTGGAGACTTGAACAGGAAAGACATAACATAAACGAATGGAAGTACTGCCATCCCAAAAAGAATCTGAAAAGAAAACGAGTTCCTCAATAAGTATGACAACAGTTTGACTGTGAAAAAAGTACAAACGGGCGTTCTGTGTCTTGACTGTGACGATGCAGGGTAAAAGCAATTTGATTGGATAAGCCGTGATTTCGCGCTCTGTGATTGATTCAGAAAAGAACCGTTCCGTGACGTTGACATGTACAGCTGAGTCCCCTAGACCCTAGAGCCCTGTCAATCTTACTGCGCATGCTCATGTCATGGATCTTGGGTCAAGAGGTTAACTGAGTGGAAACGGAATATGCACCAAATTGGAAAAAAAAAACGTTGTCGGGTTGAAAAGGTTAAATCATCGAGCCTAAGACGTGGTAAACAGTTAATGAAGTTAATAGTATTTATATTGTAGCTTTCGAACATTGACTCAAGCTACCTTACAAAGGTTTGGGTAACATTTCATGCATGTGTCTGCACAGAAACATTCTTCGAATACTGTACCCAGTGTAAAGACTACATAGAATACCCCACGGTCACTTTGGTGTATATCTTGCAAGACCAAAGCTATAATCACTAATGTAAGGCTTACCAGAAGTAGAAAGACCGCACCCATGTCATTTTTATACGATTCGACCTGAAAGGCAGCGAAGATGACAAGAACAAACAGTGCTGGAATCAAGTAGTTCAGATAGTCCCACGTGTAGGTCCCGAACCAGTAGCAGAATGAATCCACTCCACTGACAAACTGAAGATGTTTGGCCTGGAAAAAAAAAAACTCTATTCATAAGAATATGGGCAAGTGTAGAGTCAAGTTCGTAAGGCATCATTGCAAAAACCAAAACTTTTATATTCCAATTTTGATTTCAAAATAGACCCAACAATTTATTATATTGTCAAAGCGCAAGAAAAAGCTCTTCCTCCATTGTAAATTCAGGCATATTTTACTTACCTTAGAAGCACGTTCTTGCACAAGGAACGCTATAAAGCTGGCTGCCATGTATGCCATGCCCATGGCAAGGAAGATAGCCATAAACAGCATGGAAAAACTTCCCGTCACGTTCTCCGACTGGAATTAAAAATACAGAATTACACTCAGGGTCTCTACATCAATCTATCAACTTTGTTTGACAGTAGTATTTCAACTGATAAACTCGTGGTCCTCTTTTAACGTCTCTACTTGATTAGGGAAAGGACCGCCATTAACGTGGTCATCCAAGCCACTTGAAGGTCTAGCCATTTGCAGATGTTATCACAAAGGCAGCACCTTCTCCTCAGTTACTTTAAGATCCTCCTGCACAACACACCGACGCTCTTACCAACTGAGCTAACCGGTCGCATAAGAAACTAGTTTGCAACTACATGAGTGTAAACGGTTAGACCTTTATATCTTTTCCGCTTTTCCTCTATAAAGAGACCAACCTCTATTTATGGCCAACTGAAAATTTTCCGAAGTTCTACTGTAGCTCCCCGCTTATTCCAGAGAAAAAGAAATCATAATCAAGAGAATGACAACAAGAACTGATAAGATCAAGTATCACATCTGAATCAGTGTTGTCTACCTTATTCTTGGCGGTGTTTGGCAGAGGAAAGTTTGTTGTCTCAATCTCGTGCTCTTTGCTGGTCAACTCTCGTAAGAAGATGTTGGACATTGCATTTAGTGCTTCTGCAACCGTGTGAAAAGCCTACGAAATATAACAAATAGAGTTTTTAGTATAACTAGTATGTATTCATATTCATATCCATATGTCTTTACGTGCGCAACCATTAAACAAAGAAAGGATACTATAGGGAATGACACATGGTCTGAAATGGGAAAACAGTGGATTAGGTCTAAAAAAAAAAAAAAGAAAACTAACAACTACTACACACTACCACTACACATTGCACACAACGCTCAACTCACATGCTGATTTTTACGGAGGGAGGAAACCGGAGAACCCGGAGAAAACCCTCATAGAATAGAAGAGAACACTGAACACTTCGAAACAAACTTAATTCACGTATGGTGTCCGCAGGGCTCAAACCTATAATATGTTCTATTCATGACTCAACAGTGAGACCTTACCTGATTACTGTACCACAAGGTTGAAGGATTAGGTGGCATAGTAGTAACAGGACCAGTCTTATTAGTTGGTAACGAGCTATTGCCGCTTGACACATTACTGCTTGACATGTTACCACCGGACATGTTGGTTGGTGCAATTACGGTGTACGTCATAGGGCCAATAGTAAAACCAGCTACATGTTTGTTGAAGAAGTCCTTCGAATCACTCTCCTCCAATACGTGTTCGATAAAATAGGTGTTCTTGTCGCTTAAAATAGTTTGTTGGATGCTCTTTGGATTGCACGATCTAGAAAATGCAATAAAATGAATATTTATCATTATATTAGATAAACCAAACGGCTGTTGGGTCTCTCCTCTTGATTTGAGGGTTTTGGAATTTAGAAGTCGATTTTTGGGGAGGGAGGAAAAACCGGAGAGCCCCGAGAAAAGCCCTTGAAGCAAGGGAGAGAATCAACAAACTCTACTCAGGTATGATATTGAGATTGACAGGAATCAAATCCGGGTCGCATTGGTGAGAAGCGAGGCTTTCTCACCGATACCCCACCCAATGTTCCACGATTCGATCTGTGAGTTAAGTGTGTCTTGGCTAAGATCAGCCCAGAGGTTGTTTCAGGGTTTGATCTGTGAGTTAACCACGCCCTGGCTAAGATCAGCCCAGAGGTTGTTTCAGGTTCGATCTGTGAGTTACCTATGCTCTGACTTAGATCAGACAATAAGTTGTTTCACTGATAAATAAACTTGATGTTTCGCTAAGTAAAAAAATTCAATGTAACTTCATAGATGATCTTACAGTTTCGTTTGAGTCAGACAGGTATCACATTCTGACTTGTATCCAAACATTTCGTTGGAGGAGCAATTACTAGCTTTTAAGGATTTGTCAGTGAACTGAAAGAGAAAAGAAGAAATGAAATTATTTTCAAGCTAAATATTTGGAAATAAAAAATAAAATAAAAAACCAGATAGAAAAATATAGTTCTCAATATGTAGGCTTATTATATATTAGTTCTATATAGGAAATCATACGTGGGACACTATTGGGACTGTTATATAGGGAAACA